CGCAGAGGTGTACTCCCTGCTTGTACTTCTGTGTCACTTCCCTGGCCCCAGCCAGGGGGCCACAATGCCCCTCACCTCACCAGCAGGTAGACTTGCTTGAGTTTACCATTCACATTTGGACCTTTACTGAGTTTTACTGAAATTCCTGTTCTGTCAGACGTTTTCCTTCCTCTTTTTTAATGTAGTGACTCAAAGTTGGCGCAAGTAAATTTAAGGTGAACAGGACCTTATGAAAAGGAGGGGAGGCTTTTTCTGGTAGGTCATGAAATGGTGTCCAGCATACATTAAGGGAAGAAAGAAAGGTGCAGAACAATTTATACAGTCGGGTAAATTTTATGTAAGTAGATGAAAATAAAAATACTCCCCAAAGTGCATATTTCAATTGGGGAAAAGCAGGGGTGGGGTGTAGTTAAAGGGAGAGAAGATACCTTCTAATTTGTCTACACTGATGGAAAATGACTATGGATAAAGACAGCAAAAAAATCTTTAAGTCCAATGAACTTAAACATTTTTAATTTTCTGAAGTTCTCAGGAATTATAACTATATTGACTACATAAGGTGTTAAAAATAGAAAGCTGTTTTGAGTGAAAAATAAAATAATTGGAAAAATGCTAGACCTATTGAGCTTGTTATAATAGCTGCTTGAATTATTTCCAAAACAAATAAAAATATCAGTTCACAAGGAGGAAAGCAAAAGAAGTATATAGAAGAGTATATAGAAATACTCTAAATAGAGAAGATCCTAAAGTGTTAAAAAAATAGAATATCACAAAAACCCCTAACATCAGAAGAGAAAATTGTTTAAACTTTTAATTCATTAGACCATTTCTGAAAGTGACCAGTAATATTGATTATACCACCATAGTCAAGTGTATCTCCAAGTAAAAGGGAAACATACAAAATTGGATTTGTAATACAGAATAACTGTCAAGAGAACTGCCCATTAGAATCACTAGTATGATGTCTAAAAGCTAAGATAGCTGTTCCCCATGAGAGATTTATGGAATCAAAGTTTCCAGAAATAGGTTGGGGGCCTAGCATTTAATTCACTGTAAATTTTCCCAAGGACTCAAGATGAGGATCCAGAATTGAATGTGACCACTCTGCAGACCAAAGAAGAAAGTTCTGTGCCAATTCTTGGCTTGTTTGTCAGATTAAAAGTAAGCTAGTTAAGATCTAAGCAGCGCTCACAATCTTAGTCCAAGAGAAAAGAACCTGTTGGAATGGTTATTTACAGAACTTTGATCGCTGCGCATGCTGCCTTGCCGAACCCCACGGGATGTGGCTTTTCTTGCTTAGCCCAGGTCGTTCTGGGCCGCCCTCTTGCTTGCTGTCTGAGCTCTAGCCACATGACTTGCCCTGACTTCCTTGGCTGTATTTTGCCACCTTCTGCCTCTGTGCTCCAGCACATGCTGTCTGTCCCATTGAAGTGCAAGGTCCACACCTTTTCCTCTGTCTCAGTTAACTTTTTCATACTTTTTGGAACACAGCATTTGATACTCAAAACTTAAAGGAGGAGAGGTTTAACTCGGCTCGTGGATGTAGGGTTCAGTCCCTGGTTGGCTGGCTGCAAGGCAGAGTCATCACGATGAAAGGGGGTGGTGGAACAGAGCTGCTTGGCCCATGGAAGCCAGAAGAAGGGAGAAAACGTAGGGGTCAGGCAGGGACATTTACCCTCTGAGGGCACACACCCAGGTATACACCGCTCCCAATCAGGCCCCACCTTCTGAGAGTACATGTAGCTTGGCGACATTGATAGAGCAATCCGCTGATGAACACAGCTCCCCCATGATCCGGTTATCTTCCACCTCTAAAAATGTCAAGATTTTTACACTTGATCTTAGCCAAAAGGCCGAGAAGTGATAAAATGTCAAGATTTTTGATGGACATGCTAGATCTAAGCCTCTCGGGTTGGGGTTTCAGTTCAATCAGAGAAGCCTTCTTGACCTCTCCAGTTGGGACATTTCCTAACCAAACCCTCCGCTATCACTGTACTTTCCAACTTCATATGCTATTCACTACTGTAAAGTTTTCCCACTTGGTTCATTGAATGTTTGAGTTTGTTTGCTATTATATGCCAAACACTGCGGATAGGGTTTTATACATGGAAAGTCTTCAATAAATATTAACATAAAGGCAAGCAGGTGGACAACTTTTTGTTGAAATGAGAAGTGCATCTATCTAGACAAGAAGTCAGTTCAACAGAGCCAGTTACTTGAAAGCTAATGCGGGAGATCTCTTGTAACTAAATATCTTTTAGGGTCCTTAAAAATCACCTGGTACCTTGTATTCTTCTGAAAGGGAATCTGAATAAATTGCTTCCATGGTCCTATGGCTGCATAGCATGAACACACCTGGATGGATTTTCATTAACTTCCAAGGCTACATTTGGGATTGTATAAGCTAAAAAGAGATTTTAAAGCATATGTGACAGAAATTCATTTAGAGGTCTCTTGGGAAAAATTCAGCCCAACGGGCCTCCAGAGAAGCTAAAGCTAAAATTCACAAAGCTACATAAATGGAGAAACTTGTCACATGTTATGAAACTAAACAAAATCAGAAGGGTGTGGGGCCAAGACTGCTGGTACTGCTCTGTGGCAGAGTCACACAGGCCCTGCTAAGAAGTCACTATGATTAGTGATGGACCTTTACTAATTCCAAGGAGCAATAATGGGGCTATGCTCCAAAAAAGACCAATTTAAGGTCTTATCAATCAGAGCCCTTGAAGTTGTGTAGGATGATCTTCTTCATCTACACTGATTTGATTGCTCAAAATTGAAGCAATGGAGAAGTCTAGGGAGTAAAACTGGAAAGTCTATCTTTCCAATCCCATCCCTCTCGGTGGAGGTAAACACTCGTGACAAGTTTTTATATATCTTTTCTTTCTACACACATGTATCATACACACACATGATACACACACACACACACAATCGCACACTTTGCCTTGTTGCCACTTAAACTTTTTAAAAGTCTATTTTTAATTTAAAAAATAGATCTTAGAACTTATAATCAAGATAAAAGCACTGAATTTCCTAACAGGAAATATGGAAAAGAATTGCTTTAAAAAGCTACCATCCCACTGCCTCCTAACTTTAGGATTTAAAATCATCATTGGCAATAAAGGAGACAATTTCCTTCTGTTCCACAAATGCTGCAGAATCTGATTCAAAGGCTCTAAATAATTAATTCTTTCCATATTACTAACTTTAAAACACATTATGTTTACATTTCATTTTACAGCTCACTGGGCCCTTTCATTTTATATTAGCTCATTTTATGGCAAATTTATAGGTTTAGAGAACCAAGTGAAGGGGAGAGAACTAAGGCTTAAAGAAGGTAAGTGGGTTGGATGAAAATACACAGTGACTAAAAGGGAGACCCAGGATTGAAACCTAGAACTGCTGATTCTAAACTGAGATTCTCTCCTATAAATTTATGTTACCTAATAGAATAACCAGTAGATTTATGTAGCTCCTGTACCCATAAAGTGTGGTTCAGGAACTACATTTTCAATTTCATGTAATTTAAATGCCGATTAAAAATGGAAATAGCATGAAACATTTTTTTTCTCTAGGTGCAACTCAATTATTTTGGCAGAACTACATTTTTTGTACTGATGGAAATTTAGTTTCAAAATATTGATATGCTAAAAGTCACATTGAATTTTGAAAAGTTTGTAGAAAAATAAACATAAAACATCCAATTAATAAATTTTTATATCAATGACATCTTCAGATCTTATTTTGGATATACTGGGAAAAAGAAAATGTAGTTATAGTTCATTTAACCTTTCAAAACATGGCTATGTGAAAAAAATTAAATTACATATAATCTTGTCTTTTACTTATACTGGGAAGTATTTTTCTGAATTATAATGTCGTATGAATTCCTTCACCATTGGAAGAATTGTTGTTCTTTATTGCATAATTTGATGCTACACAATATTCTGAAGTATTTCCTAAAATAAAGATGACCCAAGCCTGCGTCAGACCAGAGGCAATTTTGTTAACTGCTGAGCACATGTTTTAGTAATGTTCCTCTGAGTACATTTTACTGCAAATGAACAAAAAAATCCTAAATCTTAATCAATAGCTTTATGGAGAGATTCTATGTGCTTTGATCAAGTTTTGTTCTTTGTGTTTTTGACAAGGTTTGCTTTTCTCCCTGACCTTTTTCATAAGGGGCTAAAAAGAGTAGTCCCTTGTTGAGCCTCAAAATAAAATAAAAAGGGCCTTTCCCACCATGATTCTTGACCTGAAAATTATTCTTCACTTTCCCTCATGGCCTCTAAAGGCCAGTTTCTTTACCCTGACTTCCATTCCCACTGAAAGACCTAAGAAACTAAATAGGATTGCAAGATTCCATGCTGAATCCTGTTAAATGAAAGACATGCCAAACTCTTATTATAGGCAGTGTCTCATTTAATCCTCATGGAGAAGCAAGGTTGTTGGTGCCACTGTGAATCATGGGTCTGGCCAGGATTAAGTAGCCTGTCCATGATTACATACGTGGAATGAAGAAAGGATGTATTTTGAGTGCTAGTTTGTGTAATCCTGATAGATGATAATCTGCAACTCTGAGGTAACCATCTGCAGCAGAGGTTCTCAATCTGGGCCCTTGGGTGAAGGTCAGAAAGTATATGATGTTACTGCACTATGAGATCCTGAAGTTATTGCACTATGCTGTCAGTGTTGTTCCCTAAGGAGAGGGTCTATCAATTTCATTATCTATTAAAGTACCCCAGCAACCGTGACTGGTTAAACAATTGTGATTTACAAAGAAGTGAACTTTATTTTTAGTTCCCAGATTGAAGCTGTTAGTACAAACCTAAAACATTAAGATAAAATAGTCATCCTTTTTAAGGGAACAATTAAAGAAGGTACAAGATTGAACTGGTCTTTTGGGGATTCCTGGGAAATGGAAGGGAGAAAATCAATGAAATTCTTAAGATAACCTGCAAATGTAAGTAAAGAAGTTACTGTTTTTTTCCTACCAGATTGAACAAGACAAGAAATAAGAGAGGAAAAAGATGAGGAAAACACTTACATGATACCTGAACCACACGCATATGAGAATCTCAAGAGTTTTGGAACAGTTTTGAGGTTATGTATGATAAATGAACAACATAAAATCAAGCAGAAAAGCCATCAAGATGTACAGAAAGAAGGACAGAAGCTTGGTCCTTTAAAATCTCTGGGTAGGTGACATTGAGTAACTGTGCATAACTACGAAGAATTATACACACAGCTATTAAATGATTGTGGTCTGAATATGCTTAATGGATAGAGTATACAACGTTTGATGGAGATGTGTGGGGAAAACACAAGTGATGCCTATGGTCAATTTGGTTGGGAGAGAAGATGGTGATGAGAGTAAATAGCATGAATGAAAATTGAAGCCCTATCTTCACAAATGTATAAATTTAGCTCTACAATTTTTGCAAGGTAAACTTGTAGGAATGTTTTCCTGCAATTGTTAGACTCCTTAAAGTGTTACAAGCCAAGGAGGTCATACAACTTCTTTAAGGATCTCAAAGAGCTTTTCCCCCAGTACCAAATTCCTACTCCAGGGTTAGGGTTTTTATCTCTTCATTCTTGCTGTGTCTTTCTCCAGGCAGGCTGGCTTCCTTGAGTCATCTCAGGTATATCATACTCATTCTTGCATGCAAATATCGATCAACTGTGTAACTACCCTTTCAATTCCCACTCAGATGAAAGGCCTTTTCCTCTCAAATGCCTTCTGAAAATGCTCAAATCCTTCCTTCTTTGCCTCTCTCCAGAATGGCTTTTGCAACCTTGTATATTATCCTGTGGTTATATTCTTTTATGATCTGGTATCAAATTATTTCATCTATACAGCTACTTCCCATATATGTATATGAGAAAAATATTGTATGCCTTGTATCATATTGCATTTGCACTAGCATATGAGTTTTTAAAGGCATGATAACACATGGCAGTTGACCAACAATTTTCTAAATATGTATTTATTTGGAAGGAAGTATGTGACTTGTGGTTTTAAGGATATAAACATCACTTTGGTTCATGATACACTACCTTAAAGATTCCTCTAAGATGATCCACATTACTTTATAGGGCATGAGAAGGTTATGTCGGCTCTGTACGCCTTCAGTGTGTGGAGTATATACCCTTCAGTTCCTCAGCTCTCTCTTTTTACAAAATAACTTATTTTCACAAGGTTCTTTCAACAGTGACGCTTAAAGTGGTTAGAAGTATGCTTCTGAAGGTAGATAAACTTTGGTCAAAATCTTCCTCGACCATTTCATTGGGTATTTGGTCTTGGGCAAAGCTCTAGGACTGCTGTTTTAAAATGAGATCAGCAAGGCTGCCCGCCCACTTCATAGCGTTATGGTGGAAATTAAATGAGATCATGCCCATAAAGGGTTTAACAAACCACTAGCCTGGTAAAGAGTGCTCCATATTATACAAGAAGCTATATAACATTATTCTCAAATGTACCTCCCAGACCCACTAGTTGCTCTTGCTACATTGCTGGTTGTGTCTAATGCTAAATAGGTGACATCTTATGGTTCATCACAACTTCGGCTCTAAATATATCTTATTTTTCTAATGTAAAAAAGAAAACTTCAATGGGAACTAAAGATATTTCAGTTCAATAATGATATATTGATCCGAGAGTCCTGTCAGATCCAGAACTAACATTTCTTTAAAAATTTCTGTGAGCCAGTTCCTGTTGTAATCCTTTTACATTCCTCATTTTTATTTTGACATTCACAATGACTCTAAGACTGTTAATTTCTCCATTCTACAAATTAGAAAAAAAACTTAACAGGGTCACATAAAATATATAAGGACTTATAACTCTTAAATGGAAAATGAGTTAGATCTTGAAAAAAAAGTTTGTTTTAGAAAAAAAGATTAAAACCTATTTTGAGTTGCAGTTCAAATTTACCTATTTGTAGTTGACAATATGAGTAATTTCTTCTTTGAAATTATTTCCCACGTGTGGGTCAAGGGTTACAAGTTTATAGTTAAAGACATTGGGGGAGTGCATTCTTTTTTAAGCACCAATATAGATATCAATTAAATAGAAAATTAGATATACCTTTGACTTATTTGCAAAGAAGAGAATTGGTACAGTATTAAAGAGTTTTCAACTACTGGATAGTCAAGTAATTAGGAAACTGTCAAAGCTTGCTATGTTATCTTGTAGAAGTTGGTGTTCAGAATAGTTCTTGCTGCTCTTGGTGTGAACGGGATGTGGTTAATATTCGGCTTCAGCCAACAAAGGTTCAAAGGGGACCATTTAATTATGACTCAGTAACTTCTTAATTTCCAATTATTAATGACACGGGGGGGAACTGCCCTTGAGAAAGAGAAGTTAAAAGACATTGTGCAAGTTGCATAAAATTGTAGAAATAGACAAATTTGAGTGATGATGTTTACTATGTTTCTTCAGTGTTGCAGTAAGACTGTGGAGTCTCTGCTATACACTATGTATTTACATGTATACACATATGTGTATGTGACACACTAACATGGTATAAATTGAAAACAGTACAGATTATTTCATAGATCCCTAACCCTAATGTTGTCGTCTATTAACAGGACTTTCTGTCAGAATGCTTGAATGAAAAAGTAATTGAGAAATTTGGGGCTACGTTAAGCTAAAGAAGTTTTTTTTTTTTTCCTGTAGAATTTCCGAGAAAGACAAGGAATGTTTAAAATGAAGAGAACTAGTGCTAAATTATTTGACCAGAGAAGCTCTATTTTTTCCATGATACTAGAGTTCGGTGGAATATTCTCTTAATTATGTTGGCACAACAGATGAAAATCTGCAGCTTAGAATCAGGATATGTCATGGTTCTAGTTCTACCACTTTTCTTTAAGTCATGGGCAATCTACTGGTTTACTCGCTCAGCCATTCTTCCCTACCTATGAGTTTCAACTCACGCTTAACCTGAGCAAAACAGAATTCTTCCCTTTACTCCACAAAATCCTTCCTTTTCCTGTGTTTCTGCTCAGTCTTAATAGTGCCATTGCTCACTCAGGTGCTCAAGAACCAAAGATTAACTCCTAATTTCATTTTCCTTCACAATCTACAGTTTATTCATCAGAGAAACTTGAAAGCTCAACTCCCCGAATATATCTCACGTCCAATTGCTATTTTCTATTTTCACTGCTATCACCCAGGTTTTCCCTAGTCACATCGCCCAGACTGTGGGAATAGAATGTTCTGAATACTCTCCCTGCTTCAACTTTCACCCAACTTTTATGGCCATCCAGGGAGGGGTCTAAATAATATAAAGTAGCCCTTGCCAAGTCTCTTCTAAAAGGCTTTCCATGGCCTTCATGAACAACAAAATAAGTTTCTAGCAAGTATGAATATAACTATCAAGGACATGCACTAAAGCTTCTCCAAGAAACAGTGCCTTTCCAATACTAACTACATTCGCAACATTGGAATAAGATGTTTTTTTAAAAAGGACACACAGAAACATTCACCATCAAGAAAAGATTAATAAATTGAACGACAGTAAAATGAAGAGCTTCTAGTTATCAAAATACACTGTTGAAAATGGACTACAACTCTCATAGTGGGCTTTTATTAACAAACAATGGGAGAGGATTCAGATATTATATATATATATATATATAT